AACTACGACTTAAATGCACCGAGTCACGTTACTCGTCGGTTTAGCGAACGAATGTTTGCGAGAGACTTACAAATGATTTCTGGACTATCGGCTTTAGAAAGCTTGGCTAGGTCTTACGCGTACTACGTCATGCTACTAGAAGCACTACCAAGACGACCTTATAGACCCTTATTTTTCAAAAATATATATGTTGCGTATTGCGCAATATGTGATGTGGACTGTGTGAGGTGTTGCCTGACGCGATCGAAGTTTGGAACAGGGCACACAGAAGCGGGACCTACCGGCGCCGTTTCTTTCGGCGTATGCGCTAGCACAAGTGGACACAACACCGCTTCTTTAAGACAAAGCTTTCCCGCGCAGCTTGATTTTCCTCTACAACCCTATGCTAGCTCGACGGACCATGGAGAGTGACCCGACGGTCATTGGCCAATCAATTTGGGGAAGGGGGTGCACAGGACTGCCCGTTCCCTATAAAAGGCCACGGAAAATCGTCGATCCATTCCATTCAGTCAGCAACACTCGATTCACATATAACCAACGCATCAAGAACAAGGAAAACTCATCGGCACCCGACAAGGCAGCCTAACCACATTTCATCACGCAATCATCAGGCAGCTCAGCATCGGGGCGATAGTTTACATACAACAACGCAGCAGCGTATTATAAAGGAACAATTCGATTCACATTACTCCACCATCCCTTAAAACCGTTTCATTTTACGATAAATAAAGAACATCCTACTGATCAAGGCACCTGTACGCAACAATATACATTATATGTAGTTAAAGTACTGTTATATAATATTTTAAGAAATGAAATAAAAACTTTTATAAATTTTATTCAAATTATAAATATGTAATATATTTTATGAATTGTATGTATATGTGTGTGTGTGTATGATTAATTTATGTTTGTCAAATTTATGTAGTTACCAATTTTTTAAATTAATTTTCCCAAGATTAAAAACGAGTGCGCATATATTATAGAATTATTTTTTCATTAGATTTATTATCAATTCATCTACATTGGTGAATTCCGACAATATCCTGGATTAATACATATTAGAAAATCAATTAAGTCCAAGCCGCACTTAATCCGATATCCAAGGATTAGCAAATAACCTCCCAAGAGGGGAAGTCTCATTTTCATGTTCTGCCGATTCTCACCATTTCTGAGAAGAGTAAGAGGGAAAATTCGAGGAAGAGTGTGCATGACAACGTTGAAGACAGAAATATAGGATATATACCCATATCTCTATATATAGTACAGAGATAGTAATAAGGAAGACAGAGAAAGAGAAATGATAAGGGATAGAAGCCCTTTTCCCTTCTTCGTTATCCTCATACATTTTCACGATCCAGCAGGAGTTGCTTGCGCAAGCATTATCTTTATTCCTTAGAAAAATTTCTTCTTTCTTGATTCTTCCTTATAAAAGTAACTGGCTACCTAAATTGCGATTTGTCTAACTTAAACAAAAAGAAAAAAAACAATTATTAATTGAGTTTTTTTGTTACTTCGTACGGATGAAATTGCGTTGTAAACACGTGCATACAAAGAGATGTCTTTTCTCGTTTGGCAGCATATACCTTTAGATTGAACAGTTTCTGTTTCCATAATCATCGACAAAGAGACCACAAAATACCAGTTCATGTTACGTAATATCCATCCGAATTAATATCGTTGGTCATTTTAACTGTTTCTAGTATCGAGCGATCTAATAATGATCCGTCTAACTAGAATTCTTTGTTACTCTTTGTTCTCTTTCTACATGTTATGTACTTTAATCATATAAGAGTTGCAATAAAATAACGTTTTTTAAACTCGGTAACAGAAAACGAGTTCATGCACAATGTTTACATTCCCCTTATTTTTACTTCTCGTGGTTAATTTTACAAGGCCGTCTCTCTCCTACTCTGCTATTCCTCTGGTATTAACTTCTATTATTCTTTGGAACTTTATAATTACCTCGTAATACAATTGCTTCCTCGAAACAGCTGAGTCATATAATAATATTAAGTATAAAAGCTTATTATTCTTAAGAGAATGAGAGAAAAAGAGAGAGAGGGAGAGAAAACTACTCTTACCATTACCAACGTCCATCCTTCATTTCGTTTCATTGATTCTCCTTAGGGTAAAAGTAGCTTCGTTGGAAGAAAAGAAACATTTCTATTCTTCTTCGTGATTAGTTCTTTTTCTTCTTTACAAATAATACAATGACGCCAATGTCAAATTAATAAGACCAGGAAGTTACGGTCACTTTTGTCAATTTCTCGTATTCACAGTAATACTGCGAAATTGCTTTTAAGAAGGGGGAACGCTTTCTCAGAAGTGTTATGGTAAACAAAACTTAATCATTAAGGGGGTATATATACTTAGAGGCCCGAAAAAAACGCTTTTTTAACGATTTTTTTTTTGGAAAACTGGTTTATTTATTTACTGACGAATAATCTGGAGTTCAAAATATACATGTTTGAAGATATTACAATAATTTTGTTATGTCAAAATATTTAGACACAAGCGAGTTATAGCCAATCTGCGTGAGGTCCAACAAAAAAAGGTGGTTTGCGGTGAGTAAAGAATCTCATTACTGGATCATATAAAATAAAAAAAATCAATGTAAATTACTAGTGTGGATGTGTCTTAACAGATTGAACGATCGACTTTTTTAAAATATTAATTTTTTAAAATATTGCGCACTTTTGAAAGTAAAGTTCCTATTTTTCACAAAAAAACGCCTATTTATCGGCTAAAAAAAAGATATATTAATTAAAAATAAAAAACCGATCGTTCAATCTGTTCTCTATTACGCTTTTAATAACTGATTAAAATTTGAAAGCAATCGGTTAATCCGTTCGTAAGATTTCTTACTCTCGAAACGAAAACGTGGTTTCGAGGAAAACGCGTTTAAACAGGATATAAAATAAAGAAAGAACTACATAATAATTTTTATCCTCTACAATATCTCCATAAATAAAGGTCATATCTATATGAAATTTTGACAGAATACTTTCGAAATGATATACTTTTAGAAAATGCAATAAAAAAAAATTCGATTTTTTTTTTCTAAATGTATATACCCCCTTAAACCAGACCGACCCCTATAATAGTAACCATAATAACTTTTTGAAGATGTTACTGGTATGAGTATTATATAAGATGCTTATAGATCAATCGACGTAAACGTGAATATACTTAAACTCACGTATAAGAGATGTAATCCTTTGCATACTAGGTATATATGATGATTGGTATAAGTAGGAAAATCTCTCTTTCTCAAGGAGATTTATATAAAATTACTGAGCGATCATTTTCAGGTGATTTGTTTAAAGGTTCATTCTGGTTCTTACGCCGAAAAAAAGGCTATTTTCACGATTTTTTTTTAGGCTTTATAGGATACATATACATATGAAAGTTGTTGGGTATAATAAATACACTCTAGAAGTACGAGAAAAAATTTTTTTTTATTGTTTTTAACATATTTTGACATTTAAAATGGCTGACAAACGTGAACCCTTCAAAAGTAGGTATGCTGTTGGTGGGCATCGAAATTTGAGAATGGTTGATCTAAAATAAAAAAATTAAATGGTTTTAAATTCAGTATGATAATGGCTATCGGGTGTGCTAAAACTATCAATTGTTATGAAAACAAAACAAAATGACGGCCATTTTTCGAAAAAAAATCGTTGATTTTTTTCGCACTTTTTTGTAAAAAAAATATAGTAAAAATTAATATTTTGACTTGGTTATAGCATGCGAGATAGCCATTCATGTTTAGAGTATGTAGTTAAAATTTCAGAAGGATCGGTTGAGTAGTTTCAGAGATATCATGCCCGCCAACCGAAAAAACGTTGTTTCGAGAAAAACGCGTTTAAAATTTTTTTTAACAAATTTTTTAAAAGTCTGACTTTACCTTATTCTGCGATGCCTGCCCCATACAGTATGCCTTCTGCTTCTTCAAAATACTCATTATCTTCCACTCTAGCCTTTTTTCGTTGTGTCCTAACCTCTTTTAAAGATTCTCCGCTCAAACGATTGGTTGAGCGCACACGTGTGTTGTCGCGGTTACTAGCGTAATTAACTGCGATAGGGCCAAGTTTTATCCCCAAAACGTGCATTATTTTCAGTATTGGATCAAAACCTTCGTTGAATATACAAGATGCCAATTTACAAGCTATTTCAACAATTTTTTTTACCATTAAATAGGTGTTTAGGCACTATAGTCCAAACGCATTTGTTGAAGCACTCATTATTATTTTGAGTGTAGCCACCTAAACATCTTTCAAGTAATTCTGTTTTTGTCAGGTCAACATCAACCTTTTGTTTTTTGTTGCTATATTCATGCAGAAACATTTCCACTTACACAACCGCAGATGGTTTGTCTCTTCTATCTGTAATATCTCTATGTGTTTGGATCGCAAAATAATATACTTAAACTGCTCGGATCGTTCTAAAATTTTTGTATGATAATTTTACATATGTCTACTTTCGAAAAATGAAAAAAAATTGATTTTTTCAAAATGATAAACCAGAATGAACCCTTAATAGAAAATAGTAGAATTAAATTAATCTATTGGATAATAATTAATTGTTAACGATTTAGATATACCTACATGAAATAGAATATTTCATGGATGAAAATAGATGAAAATAGAAAAAAAATTGAAAAAAGGAATTTAGTATGACTTCAAAGTGATATTCTTCTCGGAAGTCACGTAACTTCCCAGTGGTTGCTTTCGTTATCACCGTACTCTGGTGATTGCTGGGTTAGGGACGTCCTCTCTCTTCCTTTTGCTACCCTCATGGTCTTCGTCGTTCCGTACGTACGTGCTTACGTGCGTTTTCTCGGAGAATACGTGTGCGAATGCGGTATCATAATGCGCATGCGTCCTACTCGATTCCTTTCCGTCTCACCCTGGCGATGTAAAATCTACTCGGAGATCTAATGGGAGTACCGCATTGGTAAAGGAAACGTTGTGTGGAGAAAGAGAAAGAGAGAGACAGAGATAGAAAAAGAAAGACAGAAATAGAGAAATATATCGCCGAGATTCGAACGTGAATTCGATTCGTTCGACCTTGAATATTTTACAAGTCAGGATAGCCAATCGACATTGCGAAACTCTCGATCGAGATACTACATCTTTTTCTCTCTCACTGTTTATTTCTGTGTGATAGGAATCTTATAAGCGTTTTCATATTTACAGAATGTGCTATAGATACTATCTGACGATCTCTGACGGTTTTTTTTCGTATGATTTATTAATTAACATAGACCATATTTTTCGTAGTCGTTTAGTAATCATTAATATATATTGTCTTAGCAAAATTCCACTAACTCTCTTAGTTCATGAATAATTTAGAATCGAATTATCTCGATAGTGATTGTCAGTTCGATCGACATCGAAAGCTTTTTTATCGACAGATTTAAAGATCTTCTGAAATATTATTACAATGTTAGGTAGATAAGTGTCATATCGGCCATCAGATACTTCGTAAGATGAATACTTAGTCTATTGATCTTGAAAGACACACAGAATGAGGATCACTCAAGGTAGTTGCGTGTGACATTCTCAATAGTAGTTGTGTGAACAAGTTGAGCTTGAACAAGTGCGCAGGCGCGGCTCCTTTCATTAGCTGCTTCTGACCTTTTTGCCTGCATTGAATCGGAGAGGCGGTTAATTTGAAAATTTGACATCGTAGTCTGCGTAAAAACACTGAGTTAAAAATATTAGGTTCATTAATTTGCAAAGGTATTCATTTTAAATGCTTTTCGCTTTTCGCAATGCCCTTAAAACGTACGCACAATTAGAAATAACAATGATATGAATAAAATTACAAGCATTATTTGTGAATAATATTTCCTGATCGTTTTCTTTCTTTTTTTTTAATTATCACGTCTCCTTTTATTCGCGTACTCTTTAGCATTGAAAGTATACAGATCAATTTCTTATTATTAAATATCACAATTCGTTGGTTTTCATTTGAATTTCAAATAACATTTGCACTAATCAAATCGATCGGAATTAAGTAACAAGTTTCGATTCTTGCCTGATATTACCTTATGAATATCACAACTGGCTTTGATCGAACATTTCAAAAGAGTAATCGAATTAGTCCCATCGCTAGATGCAAGTATGTACGTAGAGAAGATTGAGAGAGAGAGAAGGTACTCACTCAGGTAACATTTTCAGGAAGGGTGAGACAACGTAATAGTAGTAGCAGTAATAGTAGTAGTAGTATCTGGAGAAGAACGCGCATGCGCCCGCGAGAGATCGGCTATCTCCGTCTATTCCTTTCTGTTTGACGGTTCGTTGTATACCCTGCTACGACGGAGGCCGCCACGCGACTATTCCCCCCACTACGGACTGTGAGCGTGTGTCACGCTCCGGGTAGCTCGGTGCGTACCCATTACACGGGCCGATAGAGGGGGTAAGAGGCGCGCGCGTACTCGTTCGTTAAGAGTGGGGCGAGCCGGTCGCGGGTGGTGGGGATGCGAGTGCCGAGGACCGAGGAGCCGTCAGTAGTTTCGTACCAACTCTCCTTTGATACGTATGTATGTCGGTGCCGCGTGCGTCACGTCGCGCCGCGATTAAGAGATAGACGATACGCACCCTCGTCGTTCCCAGTCCTTTTCGTCATCGCTTCTGTCATCGTTATTATTGTTTATAACGAAAAGGACACGAAGACGTTAATAAATTAATCAAGTTACAAATATAAAGTGTATAATAATAGTGTGATTGAAAAGGGAACGAAAAAGAGAGAAGAGAGAGAGAGAGAGAGGGAAAGAGAGATAACGATCGAACTACTTCGATCGAGAGTGGTGTGTTCTCTGTGAATACTTACCCCTGGTCCATCGTGTGATCTTACGAATGTCGCGACGTGATGTCGCCCGATAACGAACTCGTCGAGTCGCTAGACCTGGCACTCGACGTCACGGATATCATCGGTTCCTCCTGACAATATGAGCTTCCTCAACCATTGTCGTACTACGCGATCATTAATAAAAGTGTTACCCTTATCGGTACAGCTGGTGCTGGCAAGTGTCCTAGACAATATCCCAGCATCTGTTCCCGCCGTCGCCGTCGTCACCGTCGTCATCGTCGTCACCGTCACCCTCGTTAACGTCATCGTCAATATTATCGTCAACATCGTCGCTGTCCTCGTCACCAAGCTTCCTGCAACTTTTAATGTTGCACTTGTCCTTGCTGACTCGAAATTTCTGTCTTATTTTTCAAAGGATTATTAACCGCAAGAAGAACTTCGAGCTCGCGTGTGTATGCTGTCGTGCCCGTTAAAACCATCCCTAAAACACGTGCAACCATTCCCGTGGGATTATCGTTCCTTGTGTGTATTATTATTCGTGTGTTAGATAGAAGAACGACCAATCGTCTTTCTCTATCTTTTTCTTCGTTACGTTTGATTCTTACATTATCGTCTTTTTTTATACTCTTACTACTTCTTCTGTTATTACTACGACTACTACTACTAATTATTTAGTGCTTCTTATACAATTCTCGTTTATATGTGCTTGCAAAAAAATCGTGCATTTATTTTCTTCTATATTACGTTATTACTATTATAAGATATATATACACAGTGAGCAACGGATAATCGAGCGATGATGACAGCGTTTATGATCGCCAGCAGCACCATGGATCTTTGCCTCAGCACGGTGGTGACAATGTGCCGCGCTTTCGCGAGCACCTCGACCGGTGTTACGAATTGGAGCGTTACAAGGTAAGATATATATATATTTTTAATATATCCTTCACACCACTCTTTCCACAGATCTTTTTTTAGCATCAATTGTGCTCACATACTCTATAACATATATAACACGTATATACTCTTGCTATCTTACGCGAATACATACCTAAGATCGATTTTTATGTTCGACGTCGACGTATATCGCGCGTTTACTTTCGAAGCGTGCGCTCGATTATGTGCTCCGAACGTGTACCACGATTGAAACACGCTTCGCCGATCAAGCGTGGGGCCCCGGTATCTACTCGAATACTTTTGCCCAATCATGCGAGGATAGTATCCGGTGAAATTAGTTTGCTCGATTACGTGATGGCCGTAACACACCATCGTCGAAGCGAGAGAGAGAGAGAGGTAGATGGATGGATGGATGGATGGATGGATGGATGGATGGATGGATAGATAGATAGATAGATAGATAGATAGATAGATAGATAGATAGATAGATAGATAGACGGATATGTGTATGTGCATAAGGAAAGAGCAAGTTAGAGCAAAAGATAGAATGAGATGGTGATAGAGATAATTGGTCAGAGTTTCTTATTCGATCGTTTTCGTGTGTTCTTCGAGCATGGCGTTGGAGGACGATCTTCCTCGGTGCCCTGGGAACGCGTCAAATATATGTAGAGCGCCTTAAAATATTCAAAGGATCGATATTCTGCACTAGTCGTCTCATGCACGCTGCGACGTAAAATACGTACGTTATGTACGACGACGAGACATACGTATGTCAGAGAAAAGAAAAAAAAAGGGAAAAGTTTTTTTTTTTTTTTTTTTTTTGAGAATAACCACTCAAATGAAACGCGAAATAAGCTTGTACTACTACTCCACGTCGTGTTGAGGAAATATCGATTTTCCTGTGTGGATAAACCGTGAGCCACAAGACGAAATTTTCACAGATTTCTTTCTCTTTCGATTCTTCGGGTTTTTTTCTATTGATATCGGATAGACATGTTTGTAACGTATACATATGAAGAGTTACAAAGAAACCTCTTTTTCTGGATGATCGTTTTGGAATAATTAATCGATGTGAAGGGAAATAATGGTGAATTTTGGGATATTTTGAATGTTGATTTACAATTAAATACGATATTCGTGATTTTACCGAGCTAAACTCAGAATGTTATATATTTTATATAATATGATGCCACTCTTTTTTCATTCGACGATCATTTTTTTTTCTCTACGCGAAATTATCGTTCGTGCCGCTTTAACTCGATTAAGAATCATCGATTTTATGAGAACACACACATCGTATCATTTTAAACGTATCTACACTTAAATACTTCAAATTCTGATCGTTCTACCGTTTGATTATAGCAGTTTTCCGATGGATATGGATGGCTTATATTAATCTATAGGTGTTTTATCAATCAGACTGAGAGAGCGTATAGATATGTGAGTTTTAAATATAAATCGTAACTCAACAAACAAAAGGAATATTAACTTGATGGACGTATGTACCGGCTATTTTATTTATGTCAGTTTACTTTATATTGAACGTAGATTCGTTTACGAATGATAAATAACGTTCTGTTCGATTAATTATTTTTCATTTTTTATACTATTTTCGATTTTAAAGTAATAAGGGAAAAGAGACAGAGAAAGAGAGACGACGAAAAAAGAATTTACGTTCTAATCGAAACATCAAAATCAAATTGTAATAGTCTTCAATTGTCTTTATATATTTTTAGCGCTATGAAAATGTTTAAGATTCTCGTTTTAAGGTTAATTCGACTTAATAGTACAAGGAAAGTTGGCCCACTCTGCGATTTTATAACTTCGATAACGAACTCTCGGTACTGGCGTTAGGAGTCGACTTGAAAATTCTGCTTTTTTTCAACTTACTAGATTATAAGAACGACAGAAAGAGAGAAAGAGAGAGAGAGAGAGAGAGAAAAGTATAATGAGAGTACATGCCTATACTTATAGTACGTCTGCATGTACAAATGCATGTATAAGCTCGCCTCTACGTTGATACTCTTTCCCTTTCTTTCTCACATACGCGTTCATTCACTCAACCCTTCCATCTTTCTCTCTCTGTTTCTCTTTCTTTGCCGATCCACCCTCACTCGCCGAGATAGAAGTCGTCGGTGGAATTTTAATTCCGACTATTTCGAAAGCTAAATAGCACTTTAATATCGGCACGTAGTAGCCTCACTTCCGCCACGAAGGAACGAGGCTGAAAACGCGTTAGGAATACTACTAGAACGAAAGAGTACGAGAGAGAAGCAGAGAAAGTACTACGAGAGTAGGTACTTTTTTTCTTGTCGAGCGACCATCTTCTTTCTACCCTTTTTTTCCATACTCCTTTCAGATCTTCTTTATCATCAGCGTAATTTCTTTCTGATTTTTTCATTTCTTTTTTCTTTTTCTTCTTTTCTTCTTTTCTATCCATCTTTCTTCTATCTTTCGTTTTATTTTCCACGAAGATCTCTCAAAGTCCTTTACGTAATAAAACGTAATACCAACGAACGACTCTTGGAAGACTTTTTGATTACCTCAAAGAGTAAGAAGCTCTCTTATCGGAATTTCATTAATTTTCTTTTACCTTAAAAATCGACATTAATCGATACTCGTTGCGCGTTAATTGCTCTTGTTGACTTTTTTTCTTATTGCAGACGAATCGTTCGTTGGGAAATAAAAAGGAGCGTTAGATAGAGTCTAAGGAGATAATAGTGCATCGTTTTATAATCGATTAGTTCCTCGTGTTACGCCGTACACGGCGAGGTTTTAATTTACGTCGTCGAATTACCTCTCGGCTAGCTTTTAAAAGCTTGCACAGCTGTTGCTCGATGCACACGAGATATCGACCTTTTACTAATGAAATATAATTAATATGATACCACATCGGCTTTTAATATGTTAGATCTATTTCTTATGAAATAATTATAATCAACTCGACCCTTGAGAGATTATAGGTATATGATTGAAAACAAAACAGACGAATGGAGAATAAGAAAAAAAGGTAAATAAATAATAAAAAAACAACGAAAGAGACTATTGTAAAAATTGAAGGACGATATAAACGTTAGGGTGTCCCCTTTGGCGAACCATTTTTCATCTCCATAAAGAAAAGTCTCTTTCTCGATTCGAAAAGGGATTCTCTATTCGGTATAGAAAGAGTTCTTCTCTTTATTTCGCGAGAGTTTGCTCCTTTCGAAGCGGCGAGCCGTGAAACGCGCGGAACGTAGAAAGAAGGAGCTGGTGGAATCGTATGCTCCTCGTTTTCAGAAGGGCCGATTTGTCGACGTAAAATTCACGAGTTGGAAGAAGGAGACTATGATATAACGTTGGGTGAAACGAAAGGCTAGAGAAGAGGGTCGGCGGGTGGGTTGCTGTTAGCTTGTGGGGGTGAGACGAGGCGAGACCAGGGCAGGGCAGGGCAGCAGCCGACGAGACCACCACCACCACTACTATTACTACTACTACTACGACTATTACTAATACCAATAAGTCCAACATCAGTAACACTAACACGTAGCTCTACGTCGTCGGTTCGCTTTCCCAGGCTTGGTTGCGACGACCCATCCACTGCCACGAGCACTGCCGGCAGCAGCGTAGTAGCACCCTTCCTTTCCGTGCCACCCACCCCGATCGATTTTCTGAAAGTAAATAAAATTCGTTTCTCTGAGTAGCCCGAAGCGTTGTACCCCGCCGCACGTTCGTGTAAAGCGTCAGTGCGCTGTATGTAATGCGATAAATCAGGACACCGTAGATAGAAGCCAAAAGTCATCGGACGTTGTCGTTCTCTCTCTCGCTCTCTCTCTTTCTTTCTCTTTTTCTCTTTTGATGTATACCCATTCATTCTTCCTTTCCGTTTCTCTATTCGATTCCACCGTTTCTTTCCCTTTCTCTTTATTCTTATCCTTGTTTGTTCCTCGTTCAGCAACCCAATGAAACTCAATTTCGTTGCCGTGAGAGAAAGCTTTACGCTGCATCGTCGAGCTAACAAAATTCTATCGATAAAGCTCTTTCAATTTCAAAATTTTGCGCCAGGAAATTTTGTCCGAGAAAGACGATACGTTCGTTAAAATATCACATTTGCTGTATTATACGATTTCCGTTTATTGTTTTCTTTATACACAATTCGAAAGAAGAATATACATATATTGTAATTTATTATATTCTTTCGTTTTATTCGTTTAGTTACTCACTCAGCGATAGTAAGAAGCAGACAAAAATTCGATTAACAAGCTCGTCGATCATAGGGGGAATATTTAATGTTTTTCATTTATATATTTAATTTGAAATTCTACATCGACGTGAGGTATAATAGATTATGTTGCAGAGATCTCGTGCACGATGTACAATTAAGGCGAGGCTGTACTCCCATTGGAACACTCTCCCTCCCCTCGCTACCACCTTCGGCCACAAGCCATCGTGCAAACTTGCACGAATGTGATAACGTTATACACTTATGCAAAACGAGTTCTATAAATGGTCATCCTCTTGCATGCTTTACCCGTTATGTTGTTGCCCTTTAAAAATAACGTTCATGTAAATCTGATTTTTTTCTTTTTTAGAATTCACTTTCTTGATAGTCATATTCGTAATAAACCCTGGCTGATTTTAATACTAGTGCTAGGAAAAAAAAAAAAATTCTGATTTAAATGTCTCTTTAAAAAGTTTTAATTTTTTTTGGCGTCGAAAATACGTTAAAAATTAAAATAATGTTTGTGTCATCTTTGTAATCATATTATTTTTTGCTCAAAGGCAATTTTTCCTTTTTATTCTTCGAAGAAGTTTTCTATGGGAGTAACTAACCTCCTGGCTGAATGAACGAGCGAACGAACGAACGAACGAATGAACAAACGAACGAACGAACAAACGTAGGGGTTGGAGAGGCCGCAGGAGGTTAAGCTTCTGCAGCTGCCACTTGCAGCGTTTGTTTCTCGAGTTTTGAAATTTTTACTAGAGAAAAAGAGTCTCCGCGCGAGAAACTCAGGAACTAGCTCGAATTATTAATGCGCAGA